TTTCCCAGTTCATGAGCCAGACTTTCAAATATGCAAAGATAAAGAAAGTATATACATAGGAGATTTTCAAAGACTTTGGGTTTTTATTCATAAAGAATATGAAAAAGACATGTTCCCCAGTGTTCACTGCAGCACTATTTACAATAGCTAGGACACAGAAGCACCCTATATGCCAATTGACAGGTGAGTGGATAAAGAAGTTTGGTACATATATACAATGAAATATTACTCAGCCATTAAAAGGAACACATTCAGGTCAGTTCTAATGAGGTGGATGAACCTAGAGACTATTATACAGAGTGATGTAACTCAGAAAGAGAAAAATAAGTATCATATATTAACACACATATCTAGAATCTAGAAGGCTGGTACTAATGAGACTATCTACAGGGCAGCAATGGAGAGGTAGGCATAAAGAAGAGGTACAGTGGTGGAAGCAGAAGGGATGGAGAGAGTAGCACAGAAACATATATATCACCATATGTAAAATTAGACAGCCAGTGGAAATTTACTCTAAGCCACAGGAAGCTGAAATCTGGTGCTGTATACACATAGAGGGGTGGGACGCATGGAGGTTGGAGGGAGGCGCAAGAGGAAAGCGACATATGTATAGCTGTGGCTGACATATGGCAGAAAGCAATACAGAATTGTAAAGCAATTATCCTCCAATTAAAAATAAATAAACTTAAATTATAAAAGAAAATATACCAGTTTTCTATTAGGTAAAAATAGAACTATAAGGACCTGAAAAATATAAAAACTATATATGTTATTGATTATGAAGAAAATAAAGTGAAAACAATTGACAAAGGTAATAGGACATCATAAAGAAGAGGAGATTACACAATTAAAATTTTGAGATCATGTTCCTTTCCTTTTATCATCTTCAATGAGGAAAATAATCTATACATACGGAAATGATTAATAGGTTTGAGATACAAGCTATCTGAATAGCTTCTGGCTCTTGGAAATGAGGTGATAAATGATTCAAAACTGGGGACAAGTAAGCTAAAGTAAAGTAAGAATGCTTATCAAAATTTCTGTGTAGTATCTTGAATTTAGCTTTAAAATGGCTAATCTCATGAAGCAAGACAGTTTCAAAACCTCACCTTAAATTTACTGTTAATGGCTAGAATAGGTTGGCTTTTTTTTTTCCTCTCCAATATCTTAAAACGCTGTTTTTTTTTTTTTCTTCAGAAATAAGCTTCTTGGCATTTTTGGTATTCATGATTTTGTTCCAAATAGGGACACCTGTATCAAGCAGCTCCTTAACAAAATCAGAAACTGTCAAATTATTTTCACATGAGTTGCCTATTTTGGTTTCCCGGAGAAGGAAATGGTAACCCACTCCAGTATTCTTGCCTGGAGAATCCCATGGATGGAGGAGCCTGGTAGGCTACAGTCCACGGGGTCGCAAAGAGTTGGACACGACTGAGCGACTTCACTTTCACTTTCAATACATTATGGAGATTCATGAGGAGTTAGGGGATGATTATTGATTGACCTTCAATGAGAATTAACTTAACATTGAAAATATATATACTTTTTTTAAATTTAGGACTCATATTCAGCAGAGATTACTTTGTGTCAAGTTCTAAGATAACTGACATTGATAGAGCATTTATTCTATGTCAAATATATTACACATGTTTCTCCAAAACTTTCTTAAGTGTGTAATATTATTCTTGTTCACAAATGGGGAAATTGATCCAGAAAAGCATATTACTTGTCCAAGGTAATAGTGCTTAAACATAGCAAAGCCATATTCAAACCAAAGTGTTTCTAATTCTAAGGCCTAAGATCTCAATGGCTCAACACTGCCTTCTCCAGCAAAGCAGTTGTAGATCAGAAGGTAAATTCATTAACATTAAGGGGTGTAATAATTTCTTAATATCTTCTAACATCCGACATGAACATTTTCCTAAATTTTTGGAAAAATATCTTTTTTCTTGTTCAAAATTTTATGTCTCTTATTAAGTCTCCTTGAGTCTGCATTACCATTCCCTAAAACTTTTTTTTTTCAGAACACTTGTTTATCAAAAAGATTGAATTGCTTTCTTATTGAATTTCCCACCTTCTTGACTTGATTTCTTATATTCTTGTGGTATATATATATATATAGACATAAACATAATTTAATATGTCTATCTATCCTTCATATTTCCTACAGTCTTATAGACTTGATAAATCCATATCCAATTTTTTAGAAAGAATCCTATCTTCCCTGTTCTTCCCACTGTATAATATTAGAAGGCACTTTAAATGTCCAATTTTGAATAAGTTCACTGCCTGTCAGATAGATTCATATATTATAAATTCCTCATCAACCTTTCACCTAATAGTTTTAATGTCAATGGATGATTTTATCTAGATGCATAATTTCATTGTTTTTTTAGATATAATTCACATCCCATAAAATTCACCCTTTTAAAGCGTACACTCCAATGGTTTTTAGTATATTTGTAGGGTTGTGTAATCACCCACTATCTAATTCTAGAACACATCTATCATCCAAACAGAAAATCTATATCCATTTGCAGTCATTCTCAATTATCTACCTTCTCCAACACCTAGCAACCACTAATTTGCTCAGTGTCTCCATGAATTCACCTATTCTGAGCATTTCACATAAGTGGAATCGTAAAACACATGGTCTTTTGTGCCTTTTTCATTTAGCATAGTATTCACCCATATTGTTACATGTGTCAAGACTTCATTCACTTTGATGATTGATAAATATTCCATTGAAGGAATATATCACAGTTTGATTATTTATTGATCAGTTGATGGCAGACATTTGAGTAGTTTCTACCTTTTGTGCGTCAGGTGATCAGTCGTGTCCAACTCTTTGCGACCCCGTGGACTGTAGCCAACCACGTTCCTCTGAACATGGGATTCTCCAGGCAAGGATACTGTAGGGAGTTGCCAGTTCTTTCTCCAGTGGCTCTTCCTGGCCCAGAGACAGAACCCAGGTATCCCACAATGAAGGCAGATTTATTACCATCTGAGCCACCAAGGGAACCCTAATTATAAATAATGCTGCTATGAATATTCATGGTCAAGCTTGTTTGTTTGTTCATTTGTTCAGAGTAATGGATATAAGTCAAGCCCTTTAGTTATATACCTATTAGTAGAAGAACCTAAATATAGACAGCTAATATTAAGAAATATATAGGGAGAAATTGATAATAATACCATAATGAAGTATGAAAGTGAAAGTCACTCAGTCATGTCTCACTCTTTGTGACCCCATACAGTCCATGGAATTATCCAGGCCAGAATACTGGAGTGGGTAGCGTTTCCCTTCTCCAGAGGATCTTCCCAACCCAGGGATCGAACCCAGGTCTCCGGCATGGCAGGTGGATTCTTTACCAGCTGAGCCACAAGGGAAGCCCAAGATACAGGAGTGGGTAGCCTATCCCTTCTCCAGCAGAACTTCCCAACCCAGGAATCAAACCAGGGTCTCTTGCATTTCAGGTGGATTCTTTGCCAAGGGAGCTATCAGGGAAGCCCATAATTAAGTATAGGGAATTTTAACATCCCATTTACATCATCAAGATCAGAAACTTAATAAGGAAATAGTGGCCATAAATAACAAACCAGGTGGATTTAATTGAAATCTACAGGTTTCCACACAAAAACAGCAGAATATACATTCTTTTCAACTGCACATAAAACTTTCTCCAGGATAGATAATATTTTGGCCACAAAAGAAGTCTAAACAAATTATAAAGGATAAAAGTTAAGTCAAGAACTTTTCTAACCACAATGGTATGAAACTAGAAATCAACTTTATGAAGAAAAATGGGGAAAGCACAAAGATGTGAAAATTAAACAACATGCTACCAAGAAACCACTGGGTCAATGAAGAAATCAAAGAGGAAATCATAAAAAGCCTTAAGACAAATACAAATGACAACACAACTTTGCAAAAGTTATGGGATACAGCAAAGCTAACTTTAAGAGATAATTTTATAAATATATAGTATAACAGTACCTCAGAAAAGCAGAAAAACTCAAATAAACAGTGTAACTTGACATCTGGAGGCATTAGATAAAGAAAAGTAGAAAATAAAATGAAGTTGCTCAGTCGTGTCCTACTCTTTGCGACCCCATGGACTGTCGCCTGTGAGGTTTCTCCGTCCATGGGATTTTCCAGGCAAGAATATTAGATAAAGAAGAACAAACAAAACCCAGAATTAACAGAATGAAGAAAATCATAAAGACCAGAGAAGGGATAAATAAAGCAGAAATGAAAAGAAAAACAACAGAAAAGATTCATGAAACCAAGAAATGGTTATCTAAAAGAATAAAGGATTGATAAGCATTTTGCCAGATTCATCAGAAAAAAAGACTAAGGATCCAAATGTTAGGCAGTCAGAATAGGAAAACAGAATCCAAAATGGCGGTGAGTAAAATGCAAAGAAAGGAAAAAAACCCGTAAAAATGGAACAAAAGAAAAGCAGAGAGCCAGAGTGAGAACCTCAGGTAAAGCACACAGCCCTCCTGGCTAGCCCAATTTACATGGGGCATCAGTGGGGAGGAAGCAAACATATAAATGGAGGAAGCCAAGACTGACTGAGGCCTCTCCTTTGGGGCTGGCGCACCCTCATGACTTGAGGGTGTGCTTTCCTTTGCTTGTGGAATAAAACCCTGAGCTGTACCCAAACTGCAACGCTGGTCCACCGTATCAAACCTTTGCTCTAGCTAGACAGGGCCGAGGAACTTACACACTTCCCGGACATATCTGGCGCAGTGTCTCGGATGTAACCTGGCTGAAGCAACCTCAGCTTGGCCCCACTGAGGCGGAGAGCAAGCGCAGCAGAAGCCCACCTTGGCGAAAGCTCACGCTGTGGAAGCTGAAGGCGAAGGAAGCCCAGCGCAGCGGAGGTGCCAAGAAGCCCGGCGTGCTGGAGACGGGACAGCAAACACAAACTCGGCAGAACGCTCATGCAGCTCAGATTCCAGAAGGCTCTGGTTAGGGAAGGAGGTCCTCACCCCTATGGCTGGAAGGACATACGGCTAACGAAGTCTCCATTCCTTTGCGGTCTCCTGCTCTCGTCTCCCCGAACGGCCCGTGAGCCGGCGAGCGGCACTGGGTGCAGCTGAGGAGGTCTGGCGGGGCTACTGCCCGGTGTGTCCTGAATCCGCTGTCCGCCGCGCCTCGGCAGCTGCTGCCCACGCGGGTGGGAGTTCTGCTGCCCCCGACCGCCTTGGCGCCAAGGATCAGGCCAAGGAAAAGGCCACGCCTTTAGCGGGTTTTCCGGCAAGCCATGAAAGGGGTTCCTCGGCACGTTTTTCCCGCTGCCTTTTCCTCCCATCCTTCAGTTCCTCTGCCGTCTGTGCCACTGTTTACAAGGCGCTGGGCAGGCCATCACCCTTCCATTTCTGAAAGTTGCGCTTGAAACTGTTCACCCAGTTGGGACTCAAACCCACGTGGCAGGGACTCTGTGCTGTGCTTAGTCACGCAGTCGTGTCCGACCGGGATTTAACCTGGCCGAAACCCACAGGGCCTGGTTTCAAGACCCAATGAAGCTCAGGTTCCTGATGTCTTATTGCAGAAAGAATTCAGTGAGCTACACAGTGATAGGTAAGAGGTAGATCTGTGAAGATTTAGAGAGAGGCACAGTCCACAGAGTGTGGGCCGTCACAGAGAGTGTATCACTGGCCATGAAGTGCGGTGCGGTCAGCTTTTGCAAGCTGAGTGATTTAACATGCTAGGGAGTGGCAGGATCATTCCAACAACTGGGGAACCACCCGCTCCTTGGTCTTTAAATAGTGCCTTGGAACTGTCATGGTGCCTCTGGGTGTGGCATTTAGATTGACCGTTGGAAACACCCTAAACTGCCCTTATGGAGGACTAGGGAAGAAATCTGAGGGTTTACATTCCCTCAGAGCAATAAGAGGATAAGCCTTATGGCTGTTTCACTAGGTTCCCAGCCTCAGGGCACGGGCTTGGATTGCTTTACATCATTGTATCTATTCCCATTCACGCTGGACAAACTGGCAATGAGTTAAGATAACTACCCCTTAATCCTACTCAGCACCAGTCACACTGGAGCCTCAGGGACTCCCAACTCCAGCTTGGGGATCCCAGGAGGTCGACCTGCCTCAACCTGCTTAGGGATATGGTCCTCAGGAGGTTACCACACCCCAACCTGCTCAGGAACCCTCCGTGCTGGGGGTCCCACGAGGTCGACCTTCCTCGATATGCCCAGGGACCCAATTCTGGAGAGGCTCATATGCCTCACCCTGCCTGGGGATTGGAACTACAGGAGGTTGTCACACCTCATCCTGTCTGGGGATCTGCACCCTGACCCGGAGATGCCTGACTCTCAGGTTGCAACAGTACTGGGTAGCAAAAGCTTCAGGAAGGCTCACCCCTAAGGAAGCTGATCCATGGAAACAGAAGGAAGCCTATTAGTTGTGGGACTGTGCCCGATCTCAGCAATAACTCAGGAGTCCAAAGAGAACCCCACTGCCTTTCTGGAAAGGCTAAAAGAGGCCCTCCAAAAGTTTACCAATCTGGACTTAGACTCTTACGAGGGACAGGTGATTTTAAAGGACAACTTCCCGTCCCAGTGTACATCAGACATCAGGATAAAGTTACAACAGCTATAGCAGCAGGACCCTGCTTCCTCTTTAGATGAGATGGTCCAGACAGCCACTAATACCTTTTATAAAAGAGAACAGGGGAGGGAGGTCAAGGCCCAGGAAAGAAAGAGAAGGAAAGAGGCAAGGCATGCCCAGAAGCTGGCTGCCTTAAAGGAAGCCCTATGGCAAACCCCGAGTCCTTGAAGGACAAAGCACAAGGCAAATGCCTAATCTGTAGACAGGCAGGACATTGAGCCAGAGAGTGTCTAAACCGTGACAAGCCTCCTGAAATGCCTTGCTACAAATGCCATCAATTGGGACATTTGCAGCACTCTACCCTTGAGACCCAAGAGCTTCAAAATCAGGCGCCAAGCCTTCCCTCACGATGGTTCAACAGGAGTGAAGCGGCCCGCTCCAGCCAGCCCGCCTGTCACAGATAACCATCACGGGGCTGGAGCCAAGGGTCCAACTGGATGTGGTAGGTAGGCCCCAGAATTTCTTGCTTGACACAGGGGCTACTCACTCAGTTCTGACCTCCTACTCCAGAGCCTTCTCCTCCCAAATCTGTACCATTTTGGGTGCTACAGGAAAAACAAAAAGTTTCACCCAAGCACTCCTTTGTTGCTGGGATGGGCAAATATTTCCCCACCAGTTTCTGGTGGTCTATGAGTGTCCTACTCTCTTATTTGGAAGAGATCTTTCCCTGCCTTCAAAATCCTACAGCTATTGCAGTCCTGATAATTCAGTTCAGTTCAGTTCAGTCACTCAGTCTTTTCTGACTCTTTGTGACCCCATGAACAGCAGCACGCCAGGCCTCCCTGTCCATCACCAACTCCCTAAGTCCATCCAAACCCATGCCCATTGAGTCGGTGATGCCATCCAACCATCTCATCCTCTGTCGTCCCCCTCTCCTCCTGCCCTCAATCTTTCCCAGCATCAGGGTCTTTTCAAATGACTCAGCTCTTTGAATCAGGTGGCCAAAGTGTTGAAATTTCAGCTTCAACATCAGTCCTTCCAATGAATATTCAGGACTGATTTAATTTAGGATGGACTGGTTGGAGCTCCTTGCAGTCCAAGGGACTCTCAAGAGTCTTCTCCAACACCACAGTTCAAAAGCATCAATTATTCAGCGCTCAGCTTTCTTTAGAGTCCAACTCTCACATCCATACATGACCACTGGAAAAACCATAGCCTTGACTAGATGGACCTTGTTGACAAAGTAATGTCTCTGCTTTTTAATATGCTGTCTAGGTTGGTCATACCTTTTTTTCCAAGGAGCAAGCGTCTTTTAATTTCATGGCTGCAGTCACCATCTGCAGTGACTTTGGAGCCCAAAAAGTAAAGTCTGCCACTGTTTCTCCAATTATTTGCCTTAAAGTGATGGGACCAGATGCCATGGTCTTTATTTTCTGAATGTTGAGCTTTAAACCAACTTTTTCACTCTCTTTCACTTTCATCAAAGGCTCTTTAGTTCTTCTTCATTTTCTGCCATAAGGGTGGTGTCATCTGCAAATCTGAGGTTATTGATATTTCTCCTGAAAATCTTGATTCCAGCTTGTGCTTCATCCAGCCTATCATATCTCATGATGTACTCTGCATATAAGTTAAATAAGTAGGGTGACAATATACAGTCTTGATGTATTACTTTTCCTATTTGGAACCAGTCTGTTGTTCCATGTCCAGTTCTAAATGTTACTTCCTTACCTGCATACAGTTTTCTCAAGAGCCAGGTCAGGTGGCCTGGTATTCCCCATCTCTTGAAGAATTTTCCACAGTTTATTGTGATCCACACAGTCAAAGGCTTAGGCATAGTTAACAAAGAAGAAATAGATGTTTTTCTGGAACTCTCTTGCTTTTTCGATGATCCCGTGAATGTTGGCAATTTGATCTCTGGTTCCTCTGTCTTTTCTAAAACCAGTTTGAACATCTGGAATTTCACGGTTCATATATTGTTGAAGCCTGCTTAGATAGTTAGAATAGGGAAAAGGAGTCCAAAATAGCGGTGGCTAATAGACAAGGAAAAGATGAGCCCTCAAAATTGAACAAAAGAAAATCTGAGGACTGGAGTGAGCACCTCAGGTGAAGCACACAGCCCTCCGGGCTAGCCCAGTTTACCTAGGGTGGACTCAGGGAGGAGGAGACAGATATATGTAAAGAGGAAGCCAAGACAGATTTTAATTTTGGAGCCCCCCAAAATAAAAGTCTCTCCTTCGGGGTCAACCTGCACTCATGAGGGTGTACTTTCCTTTGCTTGCTGAATAAAACTCTGAGCTGTAACCGAGCTTAACACTTGACTGCATTTCAAATTTTGGCTGGGGTGAGACAGAACCATGGAAATTACACAATCCCCCAACACAAATAAACAAAACATGAAATAAAAGAGTAATTATAGCCAATATCACCAAAATGTAAACAATTATAAGTGAATATTATGACTAGTTCTATACCAACAAATTGGGAGACCTAGAAGAAATAGATAAATTTCTGGAAACATGCAGTCTCCCAAAATAAATAAGGAAGAAATATTTGAACAGTATGGATCACTAGTATTGAAACTCAATCATTAGTCAAAAAACTCTCAACAAACAACAGTACAGTACCAGATGACTTCACAGGGGAATTCTACAAACCATACAAAAAAAGTGTTAATCCCTATACTTCCTAAACCATTTCCAAATACTGGAGAGGTGGAAACACTTCTAAATTCATTCTATAAAGCCACTATTATCCTGAAATGAAAATAAGACAGATACTACAAAAATTAAAACTGAAAAAAAAATTATAGGTTAATATCTCTGAGAAATATAGATGTAGATATCATTTGTTAAGAAAATATTAACAAACTGAACTCAACATTATATAAAAAGGATCATATACCATGATTAAGTAGGATTTCTTCCAGGAATATAAAGGTGGTTCAATATATGCAAATAAATCAGTATAATATAGTATATTAATAAAATGCAGGATAAAAAGAAGGTGACCGTCTCAATAGATGTTATAAAGCATTTAGCAAAATTAAACATCCATTTATGATTAAAAAAAAAGAAAAACTCTCAGCAAAGTTGGTATAGAAGGAATTTATCTCAATAAAATAAAAACCACAGGTTTTCCCTCATAGCTAAGTTGGTAAAGAATCCACCTGCAATGCAGGAGAAACCAGTTCAATTCCTGGGTCAAAAGATCTGCCGGAGAAGGGACAGGCTACCCACTCCTGTATTCCTGGGCTTCCCTTGTGGCTCAGTTGGTAAGAATCCAGCCACAATGCGGGAGACCTGGGTTTGATCCCTCGGTTGAGAAGATCCTCTGGTGAAGGGAAAGGCTACCCACTCCAGTGTTCTGGCCTGGAGAATTCCATGGAGTGTATAGTCAATGGGTTCGCAATGAGTTCGACATGACTGAGAGAATTTCACTTATTTCTTTATGGCAAACCTATAGATAATATCATTCTCAACGCTAAAATGTTGAAATTTTTTCCTCTAAAATCAGGAAAAAAAGAATTCCCGCTATCACCACTTTTATTTAACATAGTATTGGAAGTGCTAGTCATAGCAATCAAAAAAGTAAATTAAAGGGTATCCAAATTAGAAGGGAAGGCATAAAACTATATTTGCAGATGACATGATACTGTGCATAAAAAAATCTGAAGTGTCCACCAAAAAAGCTATTAGAGCTAGAAAAATGAATCAGTAAATTTGCAGGATACAAGGTTAATACATAAAAACCT